GGGGGGGGGTGGGGGAAGTGATAGAGAGACTTGGTGGATACCTGGCATTTAGCCAAAGTCAAACCATCACAATAGAGAAGATCTGGTTTGTGACTACCTGAGGAATCTGAATAGGCATAAGTCTATGGAACCTGATGAGCTATATCCCGGTGTCCCAAGGGAATTGGCTGATGTAGTTGCCAGGCCACTCTCCATGATATTTTAAAAGTCATAACAGGGACAAACTTTATAGCAGGGCCTCTAGCAATAGGACAAAGAGTAATGGTTTTAAACTGAAAGAGGGTAGATTTAGACTAGATATAAGAAAGGAATTTTTTACTGTGAGGGTGGAGAAACACTGGAACAGGTTGCCCAGAGTGGTGATAGATGTCCCATCCCTGGCAACATTGTCAGGTTGGACGGGGCTCTGAGACACCTGATCTAGTTGGAGATGTCCCTGGTCATTTCAGGGCGGTTGGACTAGATGACCTTTAAAGTTCCCTCCTTACACAAATTATTCTATGATTATGATTCTATGGCACTTTTCATTCTCAGAGTTTTCTGGAAAGAGCTTTATTGGTGAGATATCATCAGTTCAATTTTTTTTTTTGATCATTTATATTTTTTCATAATCATCCAAAGTTTCATGCAAGATTTACAACCGAATAAGGACAAAAGATACTTATCAGAGGATCATAAAAAAATAACATTTGATCATATAACTTACAGATTTTAAGCTAAAAGTCCAACTTTCTCTTAAAGTCAATCTGCTAGTGATGGGTTTTCTAAATGTGCATAGGAAAAATTAGCCCAATGGAGTAGATAAGAAAAAGATAACTAACTGAGCACTGAATGCTTTTATTCTTTTTTTTATTGATTTTTTTTTCTTTGTTGATATTATTCCAGTGGGAAAAGGGTGTATAATTTTCTATACATCTTAAGGAAGAAATGCATTTTAAAGAGGGCACACAGCATCATTTTTTTCCAATGAAACATTTCACACACCATCCTGTAAGATTTTTCTAATCTTATAGTTCATTTAAAATGAAAGCAGTAAACTTCTACAAAGTATAGTCAAGATTTGGGAACATAATCTAATACTTTTCAAGGG